GGCTCACGCCCGGGAGAGGGCCCGGTTCCAAAACGAATGCAATCACTTTTCACCCGGTGAATACTCGAGTCCTTCCAACGGGGCAACCCGGGCCAGATAATCGAATTCCCTTGTTGATTGTGTTGATTCGATTATCTGGCCCAGGACCTTCAGCTCCCTCCACAGATTTTCTATGGGTTTAAGGTCTGGAGACTGGCTAGGCCACTCCAGGACCTTAATGTGCTTCTTCTTGAGCCACTCCTTTGTTGCCTTGGACGTGTGTTTTGGGTCATTGTCATGCTGGAATACCCATCCACGACCCATTTTCAATAACCTGGCTGAGGGAAGGAGGTTCTCACCCAAGATTTGACGGTACATGGCCCCGAAGAGGGTGTAGGCTGAAGTTGCCTCTAGACTAGTGATGGCCCGCGGATACATTTTTTTTTGGGGGGGGGGGGGAACTCAGGGTCTCAATTTACTGTTTAGAGTGAGAATAGTAGAATACACATTTACATTTTAGTCATTTAGCAGACGCTCTTATCCAGAGCGACTTACAGTTAGTGAGTGCATACGTTATTTTATTCTTCATACTGGCCCCCCATGGGAAATGAACCTACAACCCTGACGTTGCAAACGCCATGCTCTACCAACTGAGCATCCCTGCCGGCCATTCCCTCCCCTACCCTGGACGATGCAGAGCCAATTGTGCGCCGCCCCATGGGTCTCCCAGTCACGGCCGGCTACGACAGAGCCTGGATTCGAACCAGGATCTAGTGGCCAGCTAGCACTGCGATGCAGTGCCTTAGACCACTGCGCCACTCGGGAGGCCATACACAAGGTGCAATTTCTAAATGTGGTTGTGCATCAGCAGTTTTTCTCTTGTTATGGCAGTCACTGACATTCACTCAATTAGCCATGTCAGCTAACCCATTTTTGATTGGTAGTTAGTCTAGCCAGTTAGTCTAAACTTGTAGTATTCATGACCAAATACCGACCGGGCACGCAGGGCATGTGCCCAGGGACCCTGACCTCCAGGGGCCCCCATTGATTTTGTTAGTCATTCTCACTCAGACATCACATTAACATGGCATAAGTAATTACAATATGTGTAGAATTGCAGGAATTTAGCTTTAAAACGGCAACATTGTTCTCTCTATCAAATGACAAAATGAGTAGAATTGCATGAAATTTGTTTTAAAAAGTCTACATTTTCTCTCCGCCCCATCGCAAAATGTGTGGAATTATAGAAAACATGCTTTAAAACTAGAACATTTTGTGCACTATTTAGGGAATAACAGGGTATCATTTGGAAAGCAGACTGAGACAGACAGTCTGACAAAATAGGCATGTGTCACACCAGCCTTCACTTTGCCTCCCCCTCCTGTCCAGCTCAGGCGTTCGGCGTCGCCAGCCTTCTAGCTGCTGCCGAACCTGCTGCTGGCAAACACCCTTCACTGTATATATAATCCCTCTGTCATTTGTCTTTGTCGGTCATTATATATGTTTGCTTGTTTTCCTGAGAGGAATCTCTCCTACTAATTCAATTGATTGGACATGATTTGGAAAGGCGCACAGCTGTCTAAATAAGGTCCCACAGTTGTCAGCGCATGTCAGAGTAACAACCAAGCCATGAGGTTGAAGGAATTGTCCTTAGAGCTCCGAGACAGGATTGTGTCGAGGCACAGATCTGGGGAAGGGTACCAAAACATTTCTGCAGCATTGAAGGTCCCCAAGAACACAGTGGCCTCCATCACTCTTAAATGGAAGAAGTTTGGAACCACCAAGACTCTTCCTAGAGCTGGCCGCCCGGCCAAACTGAGCAACCGGGGTAGAAGGGCCTTGGTTAGGGAGGTGACCAAGAACCCAATGGCCACTCTGTGGAGATGGGAGAACCTTCTAAAAGGACAACCATCTCTGCAGCACTCCACTAATCAGGCCTTTATGGTAGAGTGGCCAGACAGAAGCCACTCCTCAGTAAAAGGCACATGGCAGCCCGCTTTGAGTTTGCCAAAAGGCACCTAAAGGACTCAAACCATGAGAAACAAGATTGAACTCTTTGGCCTGAATGCCAAGCGTCACGTCTGGAGGATATCTGGCACCATCCCTACGGTGAAGCATGGTGGTGGCAGCATCATGCTGTGGGGATGTTTTTCAGCGGCAGGGACTGGGAGACTAGTCAGGATCGAGGGAAAGATGAACGGAGCAAAGTACAGAGAGATCCTTGATGATAACCTGCTCCAAAGTGCTCAGGACCTCAGACTGGGGCGAAGGTTCACCTTCCAACAGGACAATGACCCTAAGCACACAGCCAAGACAATGCAGGAGTGGCTTCGGGACAAGTCTCAGAATGTCCTTGAGTGGCCCAGCCAGAGCCCGGACTTGAACCCGATCGAACATCTCTGGAGAGACCTGAAAATAGCTGTGCAGTGACACTCCCCATCCAACCTGACAGATCTTGAGAGGATATGCAGAGAAGAATGGGAGAAACTCCCCAAATAAAGTTGTGCCAAGCTTTTAGCGTCATACCCAAGAAGATTCAAGGCTGTAATCTCTGTCAAAGGTGCTTCAACAAAGTACAGAGTAAAGGGTCTGAATACTTATGTAAATTTGATATTTCTGTTTTGTATTTTTTTATACAACCATTTCTAAAAACCAGTTTTTTTTGTCGTTATGGGGTATTGTGTATAGATTGATGAGGGAAAATAAACATTTTAATCAATTTTAGAATAAGGCAAAATGTCAAAGGGGTCTGAATACTTTCCGAATGCACTGTATCTAAGCAATAAGGCTCCTCGGGGGTGTGGTGTATGGCCAATATACCACGGCTAAGGGCTGTTCTTCGCACTATGCAATGCGGAGTGCCTGGATACAGCCCTTAGCCGTGGTATATTGGCCATATATCACAAACCCCTGAGGAGCCTTATTGTAAACTGGTTACCAACGTAATTAGAGCAGTAAAAATTGATATTTTGTCATACCCATGGTATACGGTCTGATATACCACAGCTTTCAGCCAATCAGCATTCAGGGCTCGAACCATCCAGTTTATAATACCTATTACATTACTGCACTTTTACAGTCACACATTTGAATTAATTTGAGGCTGATGATGTCATCTCCTTAATGTCATGTCTCTCCAGTAATGTCAGGTGTGCAATATTATTTTATCAGAAGACACCAGCAATAATCATTTAAATTGATACAAAACAGAAATTAAATATTTGTTCTAAATCTGTGTGTTTACGCATGCTTTTATCAACATTTAGTCCTAATTCATTAATATACATATTTGGAAATAGCCTAATGCTTGGTCTTGCATTATGAAACAACAATTTATTTTCAATTTAAATGCAGCTTACCTTTTAATTTGGAACCTGATCAAGAAAAGAGCTCCCTTGAAAATGCCAATTTCCTTCACTGGATTTTTCAGTAGGTTTATTGTACCTCATACGTTTGTTATTATATTTACTGTTATATTTAATAAACTATAATTCATTATAAAATTTATTTTATTAAAGTCCTCTCACTCAACAAGTTCTTAAAAATAAATTTCACTTTTTAAAGTTTTTGTCTGCCCAATTTTACTGCTGACTGGTTTTCACATGTTACATTTGTGTACAGCTTTAGATCATAGGCCTAAAAATGGTTTTGATGGTTCAATCTTATATAAGTCTATTGTTCAATCAGGTGGTGTGATTAACAAGTCATTATTGGAACTGGGGTGGCAGGTAGCTTAGTGGTTAAGAGTGTTGTGCCAGTAACCGAAAGGTTGCTGGTTCTAATCCCCGAGCCGACTAGGTGAAAAATCTGTCGATGTGCCCTTGAGCAAGGCACTTAACCCTAGTTGTTCTGGATAAGAGCGTCTGCTAAATGACAAAAAAACACTGGATTTCGATATAACAGTTGTATTTGAATGCAACAGAGGGTCTATCTTGCCACTTGGTGCTCATCTGTAGATGGTGCAGTCAATGTCTTGATAATATTCTCTCCATCATATGCCTAATTGTCAGATTACGTGCCTCTGTGCTTCTCTCTCAAAAATAGTTTATTTCTACTTGTTGGGTACTAACTTCTAAATTTGAAATATGAAATACCCTTATTCATGTTACCATATTAGAACTGAGGTTATGGAAATCTACTGAGTGCAGAAAGTTTACATTCTGTCAGAACATGTTATTGTTAAATCTCAGGTATCCTGTGGAGAGGAGAAGGGCCACAGTCTGGTTTCAGTCAACTGATAAGTTAGGACAGCCGTGAGTTGGGGAGGAGTGAGGAATTTGGGCCGAGGTCAGGTCAGATGAAGTGAGAAAGAACAGGCATCACTATAGTCCTGCCTAGCAACAGAGATGTATTGGCTGTCTAGATGTGCAAGGAGTTGACTCCGCCCAGTAGAGGGTATAAATGTATGTACTTGTGTAAATATGTATTTGTTTTATGCAGCTGTTTGACCCAGTGGGTGAATAAACTTGGTTTGAGCTTTTCCTAGTTTTACTCTGTTTATTTAGAACCTAACATACTGAAATATGTGGAAAGAGATGGACATTGGAATAAACATTCCGTGCATTTAATTGAATAGCTAACTGTATTCCTGGCCGGTGTAAAAATAGGCTATTAAAGTAGTGCAAAATCCTTTGAAAAGATGCATCTTGCGAAATATTGATAATAATTGATGTTATCAAACATTCCATTTTGAACACATTATGAAGAAGTGCCTTCAGAAAGTATTCATGTCCCTAGACTTTTTCCACATTTTGTTGTGTTACAGCCTGAATTTAAAATGGATTAAATCGATAGAAATCCAATATGAATGCTGTTGAGAGATAGATGGGAGGGGTTGAATGGAGCTGAAGATAAATACAGTGAAAAGTACTCAGCATATGTGGGAAGTCCTTCAAGACTGTTGGAAAATCATTCCAGGTGAAGCTGGTTGAGAGAATGCCAAGAGTGTGCAAAGCTATATTTGAGATACTTCAAATAGCCACCCTTTGAGAATATACAGTATCAATTATAATCTAAGGAAAATGTCCATGTATGTTTTGCAGCTAACGCAAAAAGAGACTGCCCGTCAAGATGCCCGTGATATTCTACACGTCATGCTCGGAGGCTCTGGCCGACTGCACCCGGCTGCACTGGGGCAGGAGGAGCAGGAGCCTGGGGAACAGTTCGAGATCCGCTACAAGCTCCTCCAGCTGACCAACATGGACGAAGGGAACCAGCTAGGAACAGTGAACTGTGACTCCTTCTGAATAGAGGTCAACAACCTGCTGGCGCAGAGGTGCTACGAGTTCACGGTGAAGCAGGCCGATGCTTACTGCCTGCTCAACTGCTATTTGCTCGCTCGTATTGTTTTAGTTCACAGAAACTTGTAAACAGTGGCCATTTCAAGTGAAATGAAAATACCAGCTTGGCTTTTATTTACAGTCACAGCTGGAGATGAGCAGGTGTTTCCCTTATCTTGCTTGGCCACCCAACCCTGATCATAACACTGTACAAACACTACATGCCTCTTTCCTTGGCACTTGTCTAGTGTTGTATTTAAGGTGGTTTATTGTAGCCGTGGTACCAGTCTATTTAGCTATCATTCCACTCCTTGCCACTCCTGTCATGCTAAGCATTAGTGGAATGTTTTTTCAGGGTTTCTGGTTCATCCTTGGGAGCAATTTCCAAACGCCTGAAGGTACCACATTCATCTGTACAAACAATGGTACGCAAGTATAAACACCATGGGACCACGCAGCCGTCATACCGCTCAGGAAGGAGACGCGTTCTGTCTCCTAGAGATGAATGTACTTTGGTGCGAAAAGTGCAAATCAATCCCAGAACAACAGCAAAGGACCTTGTGAAGATGCCACCCTTTGCCTTGATGACAGCTTTGAACACTCTTGGCATTCTCTCAACCAGCTTTACCTGGAATGATTTTCCAACAGTCTTGAAGGAGTTTCCACTTATGCTGAGCACTTGTTGGCTGTTTTTCCTTCACTCTGCCGTCCGACTCATCCCAAACCATCTCAATTACGTTGAGGTCAGGGGATTGTGGAGGCCAGGTCATCTGATGCAGCACTCCATCACTCTCCTTCTTGGTAAAATAGCCCTTACACACCCTGGAGGTGTGTTGGGTCATTGTCCTGTTGAAAAACAAATGATAGTCCCCCTAAACCCAAACCAGATGGGATGGCGTATCGCTGTAGAATGCTGTGGTAGCCATGCTGGTTAAGTGTGCCTTGAATTCTAAATAAATCACAGACAGTGTAACCAGCAAAGCACCCCCACACCATAACACCTCCTCCTCAATGCTTTACCGTGGGAACTACACATGCGGAGATCATCCGTTCACCCACACCGCGTCTCACAAAGACATGGCTGTTTGAACCAAAAACCTCCAATTTGGACTCCAGACCAAAGGACAAATTTCCACTGGTCTAATGTCCATTGCTCATGTCTTAAAGTAATGATGGACTGTTGTGTCTCTTTGCTTATTTGAGCTGTTCTTGCCATAATATGGACTTGGTCTTTTACCAAATAGGGCTATGTTCTGTATACCCCCCCCCCCCCCCCCCCCCCCCCCCCCTTCACCCCCCTACCTTGTCACAACACAGCTGATTGGCTCAAACACATTAAGAAGGAAATACATTTCACAAATTAACTTTTAAGAAGGCACACCTGGTAATTGAAATGCATTCCAGGTGACTACCTCATGAAGCTGTTTGAGAGAATGCTAAGAGTGTGCAAACCTGTCATCAAGGCAAAGGGTGGCTATTTGAAGAATCTCAAATATAAAATATATTTTGATTTGTTTAACACTGTCTTGGTTACCACATGATTCCATATGTGTTATTTCATAGTTTTGATTTCTTCACTATTATTCTACAATGTAAAAATGTTTACAAATAAAGAAAAACCTTTGAATGAGTAGGTGTGTCCAAACTTTTGACTTGTACTGTATACATATTTACAAAACAATATATGGGGTATTGGAAATGATGCAGACAATAACATTGATGGAAGCTACAATCTATCTGCAATATTAAAGCTGATCTACCCACTAAAAAAAGTAATAATAATGTGGCAAAGAAATGAACTTTATGTCCTGAATAGAAAGCTTTATTTTTGGGGCAAATCCAACACAACACATCACTGAATACCACTCTTCATATTTTCAAGCATGGTGGTGGCTTTATCATGTTATGGGTATGCTTGTCATCGGCAAGGACTAGGGAGTTTTCTAGGATTCAAAAGAAACGGAATAGAGCTAAGCACAGGCAAAACCCTAGAGGAAAACCTGGTTCACTTTGCTTTCCAACAGACACTGGGAGACAAATTCACCTTTCAGCAGGACAATAACCTAAAACAATGTCAAATATACACTGGAGTTGCTTACCAAGACAGCATTGAATGTTACTGAGTGGCCTAGTTACAATTTTGGCTTGGAAATCTATGGCAAGACTTGAAAATGGCTTTCTAGCAAAGATCAACAACCAACTTGACAAAGCTTGAAAAATATTTTTAAATAATGATGTGCAAATATTGTACAATCCAGGTGTGCAAAGCTCTTAGAGACTTACCCAGAAAGACTCACAGCTGAAATCGCTGCCAAATGTGATTCTAACATGTATTGACTCAGGGGTGTAAATTCTTATGTAAATGAGATATTACTGTATTTTCATTTTCATAATTGCTAAAAATTATAAAAATTTTCAACTTTGTCATTATTGGGGTATTGTGTGGTAATCCATTTAGAATGCAGTCTGTAGCACACACAGGTGGATCAAGGGGATGAATCTTCTGAAGCACTGTATGTAAAATTCCACATGTGATGCGAAGACCTCTGGCTACTGTAATCTTCAGACATTTTCGAGGACTTTCTCCAATTCGAACATTGACCCACAACGTTGCATGGTATTTTGAAATCCTTAAAAACACATTTCTGGATTCCTCCAGATGTTCAAACCATGCGTCTGGCAAGACACCATGATTATACGCGAGCAGTAAGAAATTATACTTGAAATACAGTAGGCCTAATGTACACCATTGGTTAGTCATAGAAAATTGTTCAACTTGAAGAAAAGACAGCTTCTCTGTGCATGTTTTGACCACTGTTCCGAAAGCCTTCTGTAAATTTGCACTTGCTATCTTCTGCTATTAGTAGCCTATCAGATTTGAATTGTCTGGACACAATCTCAGTCATTTGGGGAGTAAAGATTCATTTATTTTCATGTGGCTGAAATTATGATTACTGGTGCTACTGCTAAGAATGAATCAAAACAGAAAATCAATTAGCTAGCCTATAGTTTAATGAGCAGGCATATAGTCTACATGTATCCAATCAATAGATAGCCTATAGGGATTTCACTGTGTATTTTATTTAGTCAGACATATTTTAACCAACAAGCTGCCATTGTATTATTTGATTTCATTTGGAATTTTTTGTTCAACCAGGTAGCCAATTGTTTTTATAAATGATCCAAACGTTGTTCAACTTAGGCTACTTTCGGTCATACTCTATTTGTTTTGAGGTTGGACAAACATCAACTTTGATCACTGGCTAGGCCTACTTCTTACCTGCTGTACAGATGTTAAAGCGCTCTGTTTGGACTGGCCTATATATCTCATTCGGACCTTTGAATTAGTCAACATTCCACACCTCTTTGATAGCACTGGAGCTCGCCAATGTTTTGAAGATGAAACATGCTTACACGCAATTGTGATGTCCGAGGTGTAACTGCGTTGGAGCTGTCAAATCAGTGAGTGGCTGGTCTTGTGGTCATAGTCACGAAGCCACACCCACCCGCGTTAGAAGTTGAAAACTATAAAGTGTAGGCTATATAGAAATAATGGCACTCAAATTGAAAACCATTAAAGAAAATAACAGGGATTTCTCTCAGCCTAATCGAGGTGTAGATTATATTACACATTCCAGTGTTTGAACTTGTCTTGTAACATGGCTGCATGGGGTTTCTACCACAGCAGGTTGGTGGCACCTTAATTGGGGCGAACAGGTTAGGTTGAAAGAGGATGTCTCAAATCTGTCTTCATTGGAAAGCCTGACCAAAAAATAACTATCCAAGCTTATCGTTGCTTATCAAGCTTGACAGTGTGTTCAGTGTAACCTCCACATAAGAGAGAATATACAGTATCAAATATAATCTAAGGAAAATGTCCATGTATATTTTGCAGCTAACGCAAAAAGAATGATGAGCAGCTGCGAGGGCAAAGTGGAGATGGAGGCCATAGCCTATGGAGATCAGGAGGTCGATTACATAAATCAGTGGATTGTGCAGCTCATTAAGGCGATCGCGGACTTTGACTCGATACTGATGCCCGGGCAGCTGCACACAAAGCACCGGCTTTGTCCGAGACGGGCAACGACAAGATGCCACAGATCCATTTGAGACTGCCCGTCAAGATGCCCGTGATATTCAACACGTCATGCTCGGAGGCTCTGGCCGACTGCACCCGGCTGCACTGGGGCAGGAGGAGCAGGAGCCTGGGGAACAGTTCGAGATCCGCTACAAGCTCCTCCAGCCGACCAACATGGACGAAGGGAACCAGCTAGGAACGGTGAACTGTGACTCCTTCTGAATACAGGTCAACAACCTGCTGGCGCAGATGTGCTACGAGTTCACGGTGAAGCAGGCCGATGCTTACTGCCTGCTCAACGGGTTCTGGAACGACACCATGGTGCTCAGAAACTATCACCAGAGGGCTTCACCGTGAGACAAAAGCAGATGAGGCTATTTCCCTTGTAGTGGGCTAGTGGGGCGTGAGTGCTAGCTATATATGTATAAATATATATATAAAGATTCATGGGTTTTGGGGGGTATTTGCTCGCTCGTATTGTTTTAGTTCACAGAAACTTGTAAACAGTGGCCATTTCAAGTGAAATTAAAATACCAGCTTGGCTTTTATTTACAGTCACAGCTGGAGATGAGCAGGTGTTTCCCTTATCTTGCATGGCCACCCAACCCTGATCATAACACTGTACAAACACTACATGCCTCTTTCCTTGGCACTCTAGTGTTGTATTTAAGGTGGTTTATTGTAGCCTGGGTACCAGTCTGTTTAGCTATCATTCCACTCCTTGCCACTCCTGTCATGCTAAGCATTAGTGGAATGTTTTTTCAGGGTTTCTGGTTCATCCTTGGGAGCAATTTCCAAAGGCCTGAAGGTACCACATTCATCTGTACAAACAATGGTACGCAAGTATAAACACCATGGGACCACGCAGCCGTCATACCGCTCAGGAAGGAGACGCGTTCTGTCTCCTAGAGATGAACGTACTTTGGTGCGAAAAGTGCAAATCAATCCCAGAACAACAGCAAAGGACCTTGTGAAGATGCTGGGGGAAACAGGTACAAAAGTATCTATATCCACAGTAAAACGAGTCGTATATCGACATAACCTGAAAGGCCGCTCAGCAAGGAAGAAGCCACTGCTTCAAAACCACCATAAAAAAGCCAGACTACGGTTTGCAACTGCACATGGGGACAAAGATCGTACTTTTTGGAGAAATGTCCTCTGGTCTGATGAAACAAAAATAGAACTATTGGCCATAATGACCATCGTTATGTTTGGAGGAAAAAGGGGAAGGCTTGCAAGCAGAAGAACACCATCCAAACCATGAAGCACAGGGGTGGCAGCATCATGCTGTGGGGGAGCTTTGCTGCAGGAGGGACTGGTGCACTTCACAAAATAGATGGCATCATGAGGAAGGAAAATTATGTGGATATATTGAAGCAACATCTCAAGACATCAGTCAGAAAGTTAAAGCTTGGTCACAAATGGGTCTTCCAAATGGACAATGACCCCAAGCATACTTCCAAAGTTCTTCCAAAATGGCTTAAGGACAACAAAGTCAAGGTATTGGAGTGGCCATCACAAAGCCCTGACCTCAATCCTATAGAACATTTGTGGGCAGAACTGAGAAAGTGTGTGTGAGCAAGGAGGCCTACAAACCTGATTCAGTTACACCAGCTCTGTCAGGAGGAATGGGCCAAACCACCAACTTATTGTGGGAAGCTTGTGGAAGGCTACCCGAAACGTTTGACCCATGTTAAACAATTTAAAGGCAATGCTACCAAATACTAATTGAGTGTATGTAAACTTCTGACCCACTGGGAATGTGATGAAAGAAAAAAAAGCTGAAATAAATCATTCTATCTACTATTATTCTGACATTTCACATTCTTAAAATAAAGTGGTGATCCTAACTGACCTAAGACAGGGAATTCTTACTAGGATTAAATGTCAGGAATTGTGAAAAACTGAGTTTAAATGTATTTGGCTAAGGTGTATGTAAACCTCCGACTTTAACTGTAGGTTATAGAAAGCATCAGGGATTGCCTCTCTCACAAAGGGAAAATGCTAATATTTATAATGTGTCTACGAAAACTTATGTGAGGCCTTAATAAGCACTACACAAACAATATCTGCATCCCAAATGGCACCTTATTCCCTATATAGTGCACTACTTTTGACCAGAGCTCTATGGACCCTGGTCAAAAGTAGTGCATTACGTAGGAAATAGGTTGCCCATTTGGGATGCAGAAATCTCCTCTCCAGCTTCCCACGTATCATACAGATAGAGGGGGATGAATCAGTGCTTGGATGTCTTCGTATTTCAAATGCCGAGTATGGTCTGAACTAGTCTGGGTAACACCTAATTCTCGAGGTCCTCCAGTGAACTAGGACTGTTAAGGAAAAAAGTATGAGACATCACATGCAGAGCCCTTGTTATTGTTAAATATGTGAATGTTTGTAGTGCATTAGAACCTTCCAGCATTAAGCCTATACTTCCCAGTTTTTACATTGTGTCATATTGGGGGTGTATAACTGATAACACAAGAAGGGCACTGGGCACTAAGGGCACTGTAACAATTGTGCATTGTGATGCCGAAATTGTTACAGTTCATTTCGAGTCCAGCCTCGGTGGACGTTTCACGCCAGGAGGCTGCTTGGCTCTCCTATAGGCAGACTACACCCACATCCTCCTCCTCAACTGTGTATTCCTGTTTACTGCCATATCATGAGCCAAAATGCAAACCAGAGAGGAAGCGCAGTATGTCATGGACTCCAGATTAATTAGCGGTAATGAACAGCCTCCAGATCCTGTTGATCACTGCACAGAAAGGACACGTTGACCACAAGCGGCCAGAGCTGGACAGCAGACCAGGGTTCAAATACTATTCGAAATAATTTCAAATACTTTAACTGTGCCTGATTGAGCTGGCATGTTGCAATGGAACCAATAGAAAAGTCCCAAATGTGCAAACCCCGCCCACCTGGCATTTCAGACAGGCTTTACCTTAAAGCAAACACTCAAGGTATTTGAAATATTTCAAATAGTACCTGAACACAGGTCTGCTGGACAGGGCTAAATATATGACAGAGCTACCGTAGTATTAACAAACAATGAATGAGTCACTATGTTTCCCCCCCTCATTAACTCTATACCCTTGCTGTTTTACTTTGGGTGATTCATGGGTTTTGGGGGGTATTTGCTCGCTCGTATTGTTTTAGTTCACAGAAACTTGTAAACAGTGGCTATTTCCATTTCAGGTGAAAAGCACGTATGTAGCATGTTTGATTATTTTTTCTTCATATGAATTTGGCTTTAGTATTTTAATGGTTTAAGCTTCAAAATATTATAACCCCATTCCTGAATGTAATGACTCTCAGGAACACGTATGTGACTCTCTGATGCTCATAAGTACTCATTAGAAGGGAGAGTGACAAAAAAATTGCAACTAATGACTGAGGGAAATCATTTCAAAGCATACTTCCTTCAGACTGGAATTTGGCATTACCTGATTTGACATATCTTTGTGTTATTTATTGAAATGCTTCATTTTCAGATGTTTTTAAAATGACCTAATTACTTTTAAGAAGCTTTTAATAGTTATAATGGTGAGCGAGCGTTGCGCCTTTTCCTTTTCAATGATGAGCAAATGTTTTGGTTGCACCTCGACTCACGGTGGATGACCTCCACTTCTTTCCTAATTACTTTAAGCAACATATAAACATATCATTTTAAGAAAAGTTATTTATTGGTGTGTGTGTGTTGCTTTTTTATACAGTTCTTCTGAAGAATAAGCGCATGTGTAAAATGCCCAGCCCCCTTGCAATTAACCTTTTATACATCTGGCACCTGTAAGAATATACACTGAACAAAAATATAAACGCAACATGTAAAGTGTCAGTCCCATGTTTCATGAGAAGAAATAAAATCTCCCAGAAATGTTCCACAAGCACAAAAAGCTTATTTCTCGCAAATGTTGTGCACAAATTTGTTTACATCCCTGTTAGTGAGCATTTCTCCTTTGCCAAGATAATCCATCCACCTGACAGGTGTGGCATATCAAGAAGCTGATTAAACAGCATGATCATTACAGGTGCACCTTGTGCTGGGGACAATAAAAGACCACTAAAATCTACAGTTTTGTCACACAACACAATGCCACAGATGTCTCAAGTCTTGAGGGAGTGTTCAATTGGCATGCTGACTGCAGGAATGTCCACCAGAGCTGTTGCCAGATAATTTAATGTTAATTTCTCTACTATAAGCTGCCTCTAATGTCATTTTAGAGAATGTGGCAGTACGTCCAACCGGCCTCACAACCGCAGAACACGTGTAAGCACGCCAACCCAGGACCTCCACATCCGACTTCTTCACCTGCGGGATCATCTGAGACCAGCCACCTGGACAGCTAATGAAACTGTGGATTTGAACAACCGAAGAATTTCTGCACAAACTGTCAGAAACCGTCTCAGGGAAGCTCATCTGCGTGCTTGTCGTCCTCACCAGGGTCTTGACCTGACTGCAGTTCGGTGTCGTAACCGACTTCAGTGGGTAAATGCTCACCTTTGATGGCCACTGGCATGCTGGAGAAGTGTGCTCTTCACGGATGAATCGGTTTCAACTGTACCGGGCAGATGGCAGACAGCGTGTATGGCGTTGTGTGGGTGAGCAGTATGCTGATGTCAATGTTGTAAACAGAGTGCCCCATGGTGGCGGTGGGGTTATGGTATGGGCAGGCATAAGCTACAGACAACGAACACAATTGCATTTTATCAATGGCAATTTGAATGCACAGAGATACCCTGACGAGATCCTGAGGCCCAGTGTCGTGCCATTCATCCGCCGCCATCACCTCATGTTTCAGCATGATAATGCAACAAGTATGCAAATTGGAGTGGGTCTAGGGTTTCTGGGATAATGGCGTTGATGTGAGCCATGACCAGCCTTTCAAAGAACTTTATGGCTACAGACGTGAGTGCTACGGGTCGGTAGTCATTTAGGCAGGTTACCTTAGTGTTCTTGGGCACAAGGACTTTGGTTGTCTGCTTGAAACATGTTGGTATTACAGACTCAGTCAGGGACAGGTTGAAAATGTCAGTGAAGACACTTGCCAGTTGGTCAGCGCATGCTTGGAGTATACGTCCTGGTGATCCGTCTGAATGTTGGCCTGTTTAAAGGTCTTACTCACATCGGCTACGGAGTGCGTGATCACACAGTCGTTTCACAATCAGGCCTTTATGGTAGAGTGGCCAGACTGAAGCTACTCCTCAGTAAAAGGCACATGATAGCCCGCATGGAGTTTGCCAAAAGGCACATAAAGGACTCTCTGACCATGAGAAACAAGATTCTCCGATCAAACATCTCTGGAGAGATCTGAAAATAGCAACGCTCCCCAACTAACCTGACAGAGCTTCAGAGG